AATATACCTCTTACTTTTTACATTCAACGTTTACAAAGAATGGACGCTTCTTATTTTTCGTTTTCGTTGACTTCAACGTATCTTTAACCTAAACGCACTTAGACTTTTTAACACGAAACAAACGCACTTAGACTTTTTAACACGAAACAAGTTTCGTTTAGAGTGGTTTTCATAAACCCGTGAAACAAAGTGTAATAATTAGAGTGTAATAGATCGTAATAGTCGCGTAGAGACAATAAAAAAACAAAAAAGCCAAAGTGTAATAGCGATAAATACGCTTAAGTGTGTTTCACGGGTTAATGAAAACCACTCTATTCACAAACCTTTTCAATCGCTAAGATACGTTGAAGTCAACAAAAAAATAAAAGCATGAAGTATTTAACAAAGTCTTGTATGTCCTCGATAAGAACAATTACTGCAAAAATAATGGACGAATACGTTGTTTGTACATACCTCGCCATGCTTGTCATTTGAGGATTCTTGCAGAATTTTCAGCGTCGTCAGGGAGGGTGCCAGGCGAATGCATTTAGTTTCCGACAAATATTTGCCAGTCTCTGGGTCTTGAAGAGCAGCAAATGGCACCATGAAAAGATGACCGTCAGGGATGATGATCAGCTCGTCGTGGATCAGCTGGTCCAGTACTGGGGAAACTAGTCTATGGAAGAGGACATCGAGATAATTGACAACATCGTCGTCTTCTTCGTTGAGAGCGTTTCTGTCGCCTTTAAACGTTTCGTCGGGAATGCATCTGTCAGCTTTCTGAAAAACTTTTAGAGCATTTTCAATGAGCTGTAAAGAGTTTGTAGAGGTTGCAGACTCAAGGTGTTCATGCTCTAGTATGTTCATCGATCTGTCTTCGCATTTCATTCCTTTTCCTTCTCTAACATTCAGCTGCTGGAAACAGTTGTCAACGAGATATTGAAAATATGATCCAGCTTCAGCATTTTTTCTCTCATCTTCAGATAGTCTCGACATTATTGTTGCCAAAGCTTCGCGGTTGTCTAATTCATCGTAAAAGAAGGTAGATGGATTTCGGGATGATATGACCCAGCTATGATAAGTTACCTTGTTAAAATGAAGATTGTAAAAAAGAATGGAGACGTTTCGATGAGAGCAAATTGTCTTGACATCTGCAAGTTCCACGACTTCTTTTGATTCTGTTTTCTCAGTTGTGTGGTATTTAAGGAACAAGAGATCTTTCAAAGCACGTGCTCGCCCATGTTCACATACTAAGAGAGCTTCTTCGCTTTGTCTCTTTTTGATGTAGACTTGGCTGAGGAACTTGTAGGCTATGATAAATGTATCGACAAATGAAACCTTGAATTGGTCATTGTCTTTTAAATCATCAAACAATTTCTCGTAGCATTGTATGCTCTTCTCCAGGTGTTCTCTTGATTTGCTGAGGTCTTTTACGCTCGATTCTTCCTGATATGCAAGACCTGAAATAGATTTAGGATTACTTTAGAATTAGACTTACTAATTACATTAACTTTATCACTTTAACATTATATTTTAGTCAGGAAGTAGTTTTGATACTTAAGTGATACTTCAAACGCGTCGTCTTTAATACACAACTATCATCGTTAATATATCAAATCGTTGCAGCACAATAGAGTATACTAATTGAATTTAGTCAGCAATAATTCTGATTTTAACAGAGTGCACACAAAATGTCTGTGCCGAAATAAAAACTAGCTACTTCCTGAATAATAGTTCTTAGATAGGAACTATGTCGATACTAGCGGTCAACCCGAAAAGAGCAAGATAAAGGCACAAACAAAGGGAACAATACTTCATTACAACTTCACTTGTTTAAAATAGTTACTAAGTAAGAACTATAAAGACACTTAAAACTTTAATGATATTTCACAGTCATATTGCTTGCATTCTATGTGATATTAGATACTAAAATAATTGTA